ACTAGAAGACTCCTATTCAAATAAGGCAGCTTTCTAAGGTCCTGAACCCTCTCCCTTAAAATGACCAGAACCTTGGATAGCTCATATACATTGGGGGTGTTAAACAGAAATCCCCATAGTATATCAAAAGAGCTATCTAAGGGTCTGAACCCTGTAGTAATAGTAGACTAGCACGTTGGATAGTTCCTTCACCCAGAGGTGGCTTATTTAAACAAGAGTTATCCAAGATTTCAAACAATATCCCTACAGTACATCAGAACCCTGGATAGCTCCTTTACTCAAACGATTTCCTCATAGTACATCAGAACCCTGGATAGGGTGATTTATTTAACTATAAGAGTACCCAGGGTACTGAAGCCAATCCCCATAGAAAATCAGGATCTTGGGTAGCTCTGTTGCCCAGTGGAGTTTTATTCAAACAAAGGAGCTATCCATGGTCCTGGACTCTTTATCCACAACAGGTCAGCACCATGTATACCTCATTTTAATTGTGGGCTGCAACCTAGAGCAGAATCACCACATCTGACATGAACTCATGGTGATCCACTGAATGGGAAAAAAAGGGTTTGTAATCAAAGGTAGCTCAAAACCCCACTAGACATACAAAAGCTCTTGAGCTTGTAAGTAATAGCTCTTTGGATCCAGCCCTTGACTGCAGTTGCAAATTTAATTGAGGGTTTCTCTTTTTCACTGTTTCTCATATATTTATAGGAATACAACAATTGAAGGTAACTAATGGGAGTGGTGATTTGACTACCATGACATTTAAAAAATTCAAGGAAAGTAACTGAGTCACTGAAGCAAGTCAACCCTTTTGTGATTTTCTCCCCCTGAAAAACAGGCAGCTAATTCACACCATGATAAAAAGGGTTGTATTGCCACAGTGCCATCACATCCCACAACCCACAGATCAATACCACAACAACATGTAACAAAGCTCACAAATTAAAAAGAAATCAAGCAAACAGGAGGATATCAGCTTAGAATTAAACCTTAATGATAAAACAAAATAAAAATTGAGTCAAACTTGGGAATTGTTGCATTCCTATTTTTTTATGCTTTAAATATTCAGCTATGATTAAAAAGTCAAAGCAACAGCATTTTATCACAAGCCAGTTGGACAGTCATACAAGAAACTGTTGCTGCATCTTGATATATACACAAAATAGCTAGAAGAGCATTTCATTACACACAATCTAATGATATATGGGGGGTGGAATGGCAATGTAAGCCCATCCAGGTTGAAAAACTCACGATAAACCAGAGTTTTAAACCTCAGCTTAATGAAAGACATGCTCTCGAGAATATTTAGTATTTCCTTTGAAAGGAAATAATCATTAGTAAGTAAAGCTTTCTCCCACCCCACTCCCATAAATGCAGAGCTGTTTTGTATGGGTCTTAGAGTCTCTTGCACAGAAAAATATGGTGTGATACGGGAAACTTGATGCATCAACAGGACCTGTGATGGGGTTTTCGTTGGAAGCTTCAGGTACATTTCATGTTGCCTATAACAGCCAATCCTAAAGCTCACTAGACAAACATTTCACCATGACCAAGTCCATCATGTTAATACCATGACCCAACTTGGGGGCACTGTTTGAATGAGCAAATTGGGACTATCTGCCATAGCCACTGTCTTAAAATAATGTGCTGAATTTTAAAAAGGCATCACAAAATGGAAATATATGATGCAGGAGGGCTATTGGGCAAGTCAGGGCATTTTCCTAAAGGTAAGCCAACAGCTGTAGGTCCACCTAAATGCACCATACTTATTACACCACAATGAGGACTTATTAAATAATGTGATGACCTGTTGCTTACTAGGAACCACTAGTTAAGATAGAACCATTTAGTAGTAGTGTCTGAGGAGTTTTAAATAGGATTTGAAAGGAGACATGCAATTTTGGTTGTCAACAACATTGGAGCAGATTGTTTAGGATCTAACCAAAAATTATGCCTTTTAGAGGGCTCCATGCCAATGTCCTGTTTCATTCTTTAGGTTGTGAATGAAGTTTCCTCTGCTTTCTCCTCTTTCTTTGTATTATATAGTTGAGATTGTATGTTTTTTAAACAGAAGGTTGCATCAGAACTTTGCAGGCACCTGTGCAACATCCTAAGCAGCTGGTCAACCTGGAAGTTATAGGCCAGAATAGGTGACTTATAATGGCATGGAAGTTGCATTAATAGCAGAGAGATAAAGCTGCTCTGCCTGCCCCAAAACAGTTCAGGTGTCAGCATATCTCTTTCTATCTATTTTTATTTCCACAAACCACCATGAGAATTAAGGAACTGGAGTACTTCAGAATCTGGTATCTTGGGCTTTGATCAATTCAAGTTAGTAACCAGAAAACTAAGGAGACAAAGTTTTCAGAAAAGATGGGTTTCTGAAACCAAGAACACATCTTGGTTCAGAGGCAGTTAACTGATACATAATAATAAACTTTATTTATATCCTGCCCTATCTCCCCTTGGGGACTCATGGAGCTGATCCAGGCCAAAGATTCTTAGTGTAGGTTGTGGATTGTTCCAAATTCTCCCCCAGAATCCAGAGCAAATTACGAGTTTGGGCACATATAAACAGTTGGACAGGTTCCAAGGAGCCAGCTGCAAATTTTTACATGGCCATCCCAGGTTCCCTGAATTCAGATGGCTGGGGACATAGGATGGCACTCACTGTCCCCTCCTGTTCTCCTCTAACACCTAGCATGCATGACATGGGTTGCACCAGTCACTCGTTGCCTTGAGTGATGGTAGACAGAGTGATAAGTAAATCAGAGAAGGAAGAAGAGAAAGTGATTCTTCTGTTTATTGTTGAAGGCTTTCATGGCCAGAATCACTGGGTCATTGTAAGTTTTTCAGATTGAATGGTCATGTTCTAGAAGAATTCTCCCAAAAAGCAGTAACAAGCCACACATAAAAACTGTCAGGTCATCAAATGGTGGTCAGTGGCAACATTCACACCTAGCTCCAACACACAAGAGTTCTTTCTCCCACACTGGACATTTCACAGATATATAAACCCCATTTTCCTAGTTTCCAACAGACCTCAAAATTTCTGAGGATGCCTGCCACAGATGCAGGTGAAACGTCAAGAGAGAATGTTTCTAGAACATGGCCATAGAGCCTAAAAAACAGACAACAATCCAGATTCTTCCGTTTCCTTTTTCACTCTTCCTTGCCATTCTGGCGGCACCAAACCAGGTTCAGTGCCACTAGACAGTCAGGAGTTCCTCTCACCTCTCCAGCAGCCAGAACTGATAGGGAAATGACAGTATAAATCATCCCAGGGCCAATCCAGCCTTTGTCATGACAGATCTGTCCCACGATAAGTGATAAGTGCAGAACTGCTTCAAATTGAAATTGAATCAGTTTTACATCTTCTCAAAATGTTTCTTTGCCACATGAATTTTATCAGTGGACCAGTTTGAGCAGACCATCACAATGCATGCCAACTAAGTAGTTCACATCAGCTCCAGCCAGGATCACTAATGGTCTTGCTGGCTAGGGTTAATGGGATTAAAACACAAAGAGGTAGGATACATGGCTGACCTAGCAGATTGGTTTTATAGAACTTGCCACCTGAATACTAGTTCCAGCAGTAGTTTGGTGAACTCTTGGAGCGACTTTTTCTTGGACTATGCCAAGCATGGAATGTTTCTCTTGTGCTTGCCTTCCTTGGCTCTCCAATGCAACCCTCAGCTAGTTTTCTAAGGGTGTCTACCACAGACAGATAAGAATGTCAATTTCAGTAAACCTTCACTTATTTTGTTTCTCACATTTGGATTGCATTTTTCAAAGCTTTCTCGCTGTTGAGTGACCTTGTGAATGTTTTGCTATGCTTTCAATGTGTTTCTTTTTTATTTCAGGACTTTGGAGAAAATTTCACTTGTGCTCAAACATTTTTCTGAAATATATATCTCTGTAAAAGACCTCTAATTTTGAAAAAATGTAATATTTGTATGAAAAGACATATTTTGAGGGAAAATTGAGCAAACAACATTTTAGCAAAATGAAAAAATTCATGGGAAAATATGCAAAACCTCTCCTTGTGTGTCAAAAGTTGTGTCAAGATACTCATTTTCATGAAGGAAAAGAAAGTTTGTGAATGTTCATTCTATTCTTAATCTTAGATTTGATTTGTATTAAACCTTTGAGCTTTTTTAATTAGCATTTTGTGTGCTTATAATATTTGCATGCAGTATTGCCTAATATGAATATTTGCAAGCAATTTTCCTAATACAGCGCATTTTGAATGGCTCTTCCCTAATATATGCATTTTGTGTGCATCTTTGCACAACATATGCACGTTTGGTTCATAGTTTGACTGAAGAACACCATTCCACAATTTAGAGGGGTGAACTTTAAAAGATGACCAGATTTTAGTTTGCATACTGTTTCAAAAGGTGCACATTTTCATAAATTCGTGTTGGAATACAAACCAAGCACATCTCCATCTCTAATCTCTACATCCTCTTCCTACCTGTTTGAAAGAATGTAATCGACCATCAGTTAGGCCAATAACAAATCTCACTAGGCAACCAGGTCCAGACATTTCCTTGGGAGAAGATGTCATGGATGTAGTTTATCATGTGGGGTTTTTCCAGCGATGATCCCACAAAATGTCAAAAGATGTCTGTTTGTTAGTATGTGAATTTCCCCCATACATATATGTCTTGCATTTAATGTTCTTGGTTGTGTGATCTATCTTTGAAAAGTAAACACCGGGTTATTTTGTAGATTTCATTGCTGAGAGATGTATCTCTGAGTGGAAATCCCATTGTGGGAGATAAAATGGGTTTACCATAGGGAGTACACTTTCCTTTCAACTTCTACTAGGACCCTGAAATAGGAAATCTTCCTAACTACAGTAACTACCCTGATGCTCAAAGGCTACAAATGCCCCAGAACTGGACTGCAGACATTGCATTTGCCTTCTCTGGAGAGTAGAAATGCCACCTTTTTGTATAGTACTTGCTCTTGTTAATGAAAACAAAGGGATATTTCTTTGGGTAGGAGTGGGGACAAGGAGATACCTCTGTTTCAATGCTGTAGTTTCATTTGCTACATTATTAGTGAGAGACTTGAAGCCCTCTCACTCTCTCTTGCTTTTAGCACTCCAGAATGCAATTATTCTACAAACTGGAAAGGGAAAAAACTTTCTGCTGTGCAGTCGGCCTAAGCACCATTGACATTTTATACACTCAAGTCTACAGCTTCAAAGAAACCCCCTCCCTCCAAACCGTGAAGACCCAAGGCACAGTTCATTGGCATCTCTCCAGTCCATTGAAAAGCTCCTGGGAAAATGTCACTGGAAGTCCACTACAGTGTATGTTCTCTCTCTTTTGCTCTCTCTCTCTCTCTCCACTGCCGTACTTGCACTCTTGTGAGATTTCCTCCTTGATTAAGTCTCCAAAAAGCCTTGAAATTATGAGCTGGATTTCTTTTATTATACTGAAAATATCCGTGGCAGAAGCAGAGTTGGATTACTTGGTATATACTGAGTGCCTGGAGATCTGGATGCTTTGCCCCAAAGTCTTTGCAAAAGGAGGAAGGAAAATAAAAAATAAAAGACTGTACAATTTTCCAGAGGTGAAATTCAGAGTGATTGCAATTATCTTATTGTTAGCAATGAGGTTGCTGCAAATAGATTAAATCCACCAGCAGTCAAAACTCTTCCTTGTTTTGGTATCCATTCACATGGGCCCCTTGTACTGGTTTCCCGACAAGTGTTGCCTAATTCCAGGACACGAGCCGGCAGCATCTCCAAGTTTCCTCCACACAACCTGAAAATAAAATGAGAACATGTCAGCTATCTTCTTCAGGAATCATCAGTATAAAGCACACAGACATGAACATTCCTAAATCAGAAATAAGGACCTTGTAGATCTATCATTGAACTATAACTCCCAGAAGGCTTAGCCATTGTAGTCAATAATGAAGAATCCTAGGAATTGCAGGGAAATATCTGGAGACCAGAATGTTTTTTTTTATTGCTGGCCAAATTCCTGAGAGACCTCTGCTGATGGAAATAAATAGGTTTGGATTATGCACAACCCTCTTTTGCCAGTAAATTTTAGAGGTCAATTCACAGAGCCCTATACCAGCAGAACTATTCTGCTGGCTAAGACATACAAATAAACAGGCCCTCAAAGATAGGACAAAATGTGGCTGAAATGTCCAGCAAAACTGACAAGAACTCACTCTCCTAATCCAGTTCCTGGTACAAGTAATGCAACCAAAGGTCTCTCAAGCCATCTCTGTCCCTTGATCATGTCTAAAACCAAACTGAAATGGACATTAAAGAGGACTATGGCCATGACAGTCTGAAATGTAACTGATTCATTACAAGATGTGGCTGACTACATCCTGGACCCATCACGAGTGGACACTGTTTCCAAGATTTAATATCTTCTTACCATGTTGTCTCCATAGTGTCTGAGCATCCACTGAAACCCAAAATCACAAACCCATATCTGCAGTTTCCACCGGGGAGAAATAGTGTCTAGCAATATGGTATGCTTTCCATGGAAGTTGCCCATAGAGTTGCATTCAAAGTTCTAGAAAAGATGAATTGCTAGGTTCCACCACACAACCCTATAGTATGCCAGGACCAGTAGTCAGGGATTTCAATAGCATTTGGTTATATTTGCCATTTCAGGTAACCATGGTCCAACCTCGAGCATATCCCTGGAGATATTGGTCTTACCGTAATGAACAAAAAGAAAACATGTAGGCTTCTCTATATTCACAACTGTTTAGGGCAAAATGGAGAAAAGTTTCAGGACATGTTGAGAGTACCAACAAAGGGTAGAAACAAATGTATTTATTTATTTATTTATTATTTCCAGCATTTCTACCCTGTCCTTCTGAATCCCCCAGAGGGGATCTCAGGGCGGCTTACACTCAGCAACAATTTGATGCCACAACATATAAACAAATACAACAATATAACAACAATTTAAAACAATGGATAGAACATTAATTAAAACAATTAAAAGCATTATTGTCAGCCATATAACCATTCCAGCCCAATTCCACATCCAAAGTGCTGTTTTGCCTGCTGTCCAAAAGTCTGGTCCCAAAACCATGAATTCAATTTCTTCCTGAAAGACAGGAAAGATGAAGCTGACCTTATCTTGCTGGGAAGCGAGTTCCACAGGTGGGGGGCCATCATCGAGAAGGCCCTGTCTCTCGTCCCCACCAAACGCATTTGCGAAGCTGACGGGACCAAGAGCAGGGCCTCCCCGGATGATCTTAAACTATGATCTTAAACTATGAAGCGGGATGTAGAGGGAGATACATTCAGACAAGTATGCTGGGCCTGAACCTTATAGGGCAGAGGTTCTCAACCTGGCGTCCCCGGATGTTTTTGGCCTTCAACTCCCAGAAATCCCAGCCAGTTTACCAGCTGTTAGGATTTCTGGAAGTTGAAGGCCAAAAACATCTGGGGACCCCAGGTTGAGAACCACTGCTATAGGGCTTTATAGACCAAGACCAGCACTTTGAATTGTGCTCAGAAGTAGACCAGCAGCTAGTGGAGCTGGCACAACAGCTCCATCATCATCATCATCATCATCATCATCATCATCATCATCATTTTACTGGCACTGTCACAGCAAACGAGATACATATTTCGTATCACAAAATCACAAGTCAAATATTTCCCAAGTGTCTAGGACTGTGTGATGATGATGATGATGATTATTATTATTATTATTATTTTACCTACATTTATCACTAAACTCAAAATTCAAAATAAAATTACAGCAACTCCAGAAAACAATTGTGGAGATCATCTTTTGCTGAAGATTCTGCAAAGAGCAGAGAAATGGACTGGATTATCTCTAAGGCATATCTTGGGCAAGTGACATCTCTGGATTACAGCTCCCAGAATTTCTCATCCAGCATGGCAATGTGCAACAAAGACACTTCCAACTCTGCGATTCCCTAAGAAATACACATTTAATCAAATTATGTATCAATAAGCAAGGCTTTCCCCAAATGCTACACAGTTTTCTCACTCCCTCATGAAAAAGGAGTAAAGATAGGACCACTGTACATAGTAGACATCCTTACTGGAGGTTTCTGGAATTTTAGTCCCCAAAAGTATCTGATCCAAGCTCTGCTTCACTATTCAAAGGAATAATGATGTGCAGTTTTCTTGCTTAAAAGAAAAGTGTGAGCCGTCTTACTCATAAATTCAGTTTAATTCTACCAGTTGAATGCCATGCGAGTTAGTGGGCAACAATTGTAGCCCTTCAATCACCCTAGCTCCAGCCTATGGGACTTGTAGTTTGAGGAGGTCCTAGAATTCTCTGTTGGACAGCTACAGAGGTATAGTTTAAGGGAAATGCATTAGAGAATTTCTAGACCCTCTGCCAAATTGGCTCCAAACTGTTAGAATTATGCAATTTGGAAGACAAGCGAGGGTGCAGTAACATCTATCTACACATGTAGTTCAGGTGAATATGAAAAGCAAAGGGAAGGTACCACAAATGGCGATGGAGTCGTGTCCTTATTGCTGCTGCACTGAAATGTGTTTTCAAGCATCTTCCTCACATACAACAGGTATATTTCAGTGATTTTCCCTGTAATTTGGATTATTCTAACACATTTTATTTGTAATATATGCATATGCCCTATGCTATTCATGATCAGGCAAAAAGAAATTCACTTTGGGTGCATCTAGAATTAATAAGGCTCGATACTACTATAAATGCCCTGTCACAATGCTATGGAATCCTGGGATTTGTAGTTTGGTGAGGCACCAGTACTATTAGGCAGAGAAGGCTAAAGCCCTACCATGGCTTCATGGAGATTGATCCCATAATAATGATAAATAATAATAATAATAATAATAATAATAATAATAATAATAATAATTTTATCGTGTCAAGAATGACTTGAGAAACTGCAAGTCGCTTCTGGTGTGAGAGAATTGGCCGTCTGCAAGGATGTTGCCCAGGGAACGCCGGGATGTTTTTTTTTTTTTTTCTGGTTCAAGCAGTTTTCATTTCAACTGTGAACATCCTTTTGTAAAGTTTTTTTTTTTTTTCAATTTTTATTGTTTTTCTTACATATACATCGAAAGAGTGAGAACAAAAGAATTTAGAAAAAGTTCAGAAAAAGATTAAAGAGAGAGAAAAACAAACACACAGCAACACCCTAAACTAGCCACATCACACAAAATAAAATTGACTTCCATTTCACACTTCGGTTCTTTAAAGTCCATTATTACCCTTATATTGTCTATAATTACTCTTGTTCTCTTCTTTTTTTGTCATATTCGCAAAAGAGGGCCCAATCGGTCCTCTTTATCAACCTGCCCGTATTCTTTTTCAAATAAAACGTCAGTGTATCCATATCTCTTATTTCTCTTATTTTCTCCACCCATGAGTCCATTTCCGGGATTTTTTCCGGGATGTTTTTGATGTTTTACCGTCCTTGTGGGAGGCTTCTCTCATGTCCCCACATGAGGAGCTGGAGCTGACAGAGGGAACTCAGCTGTGCTCTCCCCAGATTCGAACCTGCGACCTGTCTGTCTTCAGTCCTGCTGGCACAGGGGTTTAACCCACTGCGCCACTGTGGGCTCCTATAATACTACTACTACTACTAATAGTCTGGAATCCCCTACCAAAGTAGTCCTGCTGACCTTGAGATTTATCCCAGTTGCCTAGAAAAGCAGAGCAGTTTCTAAGAACCTCATTCACTGCCCAGAGACGTGGTTCCCTACTTGAGATACTTATAAACTAGGTCACACAAAATGGTATCCATGTATTCTGAAAAATTTTGGCAACTCCATGAATCCAGAGAAATATGCAACCTGGGGCTGGCATTCTTGTTCTCTGAATGAGCCTATTATATGTGCATTGTCATTGCACATTGCATATTTTAACACACAAGAAGACCGTAATGTTCTTGATTGCAGATGAAAAGTGAGCTTTGTTTTAATGCTAAAATTTACATCTTTGCTTCCCTTTCCCACTCTTAGAAGCTCAGGAAAATGTAGATAAAGACCATGACCTTAGTAAGACAAGAGGGAAACAAAGCCCTAAGAGATATGCACAGTATCTAAGTTTTAATGTGCTCTGTTTTGTATTCTCTCTTCAAAGCTCAAATTCATATGCAGAGAAATGTTATGAATTTTTAAAAATGCTGACAATATACTTTGCAAGTATTTTAATATGGAAGTGAAACCAATTACCCTTTAATTCTCCTGCAGAGTGGATTTATTGACTTTATGTGAGCACGGACACTTGCAGTGTGTAATGTCAGCTTTGGAACGTTGTAAGTTTTTTCTATGTAGAATTGGGTCCAGAGGCATCTTCGGAGTCCAAATTGCCCTGTACTTTATTCTGTATTCAGAAATGTTTGGGAAAAGGCATTTTTTTTCTTCCTCCCTTCTGATTATCATTCTAGAAATCTAGCTAGTTCTATTCCAAAGAATCAAGAAGAGTACAAGTGGCCCTCCATGACCATGGGTTCTGCATCCATGGATTCAAACAACCATATATAGCAATGGTTCCCAAACATTTTTTTTTACCATGGACCACTTGACCAGGGAACAGTTTGATCAAGGACCAGTTTGACCAGGATCCACTCTCCAACATTAGTACCAAAAAGGTTACAAATCAGTTTTTGGTAAACTTTAGATTTGGTTAGGTTATTGGTGGTGCTGATTCAGAAAATTGCATTAGATAGACCACATCAGCCCTACTTTCTGATACAGAACATATGCCATCCAGTAGTTGCCATCTGCTCACCCACAGAAAACCATATTTAA